ATTTATGTCCCCACTGGATGCAACAAATGCCTCGTTTATAATGGGTTTTATTGGTTTTGTCTCGTCGCTCCGGGACACGGCATCACAATATGGTAAGGGCGTAACATTTCCGTCACACGCTTGAGGTATTCGGCCAAACACAACGCACTGGATAGCTGGCCAATCAGAGCACACCTCACTTTTCAGAACGATGAACTTTGTAAAAATCAACGCGTTTCTCTACAATTGCACACACAAATACAGCGGTGTGCACTGTAGCCTGTATCATTTCAAATTAAAACATGAATGAAACTACAAGCATGCGTGTCAGTTCTACATCACTTTCAGCAGCGGCAGTTCTTAAAGTAATAGCAGCCAAATATCCTAATAACCAGCTGCTGTGATGTCTGTTAATCAAAGAACAAAAGAAAAAAAAGAGTAAATCAATAACTTTTGTAGCTTTGAGCGTTCAGAATTTAACATTTAGTGTTGATAACTTTATTCAATTTCTGTATATTTCCTACTTGCTAAAGGGCACAGGTAAATATGACATTTATTATAATGGGTTTATGTGAATATTGTTTTAAGTTCACTTAAATTAGAAGCTGTTATTTTTTAAAGTCTAATAAATGTTAAAATTGATAGCACTCAATTATACTGCAATGTTGAATGGTTAAATATTACATTTACATTTAGCAGATGCTTTTATCCAAAGCGACTTACAAATGAGGACAATGGAAACAATCAAAATCAACAAAAGAGCAATGATATGCAAGTGCTATAACAAGTCTCAGTTAGCTTAACACAGTACACATAGCAAGCTTCTTTTTTTTATTATATAATAAAAAGAAAACAGATATAATAGAAAAAAAGATATTGTTAAAGGCCTTTTTTGCTTTTGTTAATTGTATAATAAATAAAAAGAAAACACATAGATAGAATACAAAAAGATTAGAGAAGCTAGTGTTAGTTTTTTTATTTTTTAATATATGTATTTTTTAAGAAAGCAAGCAGTTAGTAAATGAATAGAGTGCAAGTCTAAAAGCAGTTTGCTAAGGGGCAAGTTTATTTTTTAAAGAATATAATTAGAATAGAGAGTGCTAGAATTAGAGGTTCAAATAAAGATGGAAGAGATGTGTTTTTAGTCGATTCTTAAAGATGGCTAAGAACTCAGCTGCTCGGATTGAGTTGGGCAGGTCATTCCACCAGGAGGGAACATTTTTAAAGGCCATGAAAGTGATTGTTTGCCTCTTTGGGATGGCACAATAAAGCAAAGTTCACTTTACATAAATACATAATACACAGAACAGTTTTAATGCTATATTATTGATTGTTTATGTTGCGAAGGGTGTTGTACACAGAACCGTTGGGTGAAGCCAAATAATTTATACTGACAAGAAATGAAAGCCAATAGAATGTTCCATTGCAACAGCAGCTGCCCTATGCTTCCGCCATTTTGGGGTGAAAGCGACTCGGCAGTCCACTAGCTTCTTGTATTTGCTATAGCAAATATCAGCTGCTTTGTGTAAAAAAAAAAGAAAGAAAAAGTGCATTAAAGCTGAAATACAACCTGAATGATGACAACAATAATGTACAATCACTAGACTAGTGATCATCAAATCCTTTATCCATCAAACAGTTTATTTTACAGACTTTGGGCCCTATCACACACTTTGCGCAATGTGGCGCCAGGCGCGACGCAAGTGTTTTTTACTAGTTTCAGCCTGACGCAGTTGTCATTTTCACGTCCTGCGCTACGTTGTTTAAATAGCAAATGCATTTGCGCCCATTTGTGCGCCCATGGGCGTGCTGGTCTGAAAACGAGGTGTGTTCAGGCGCGTTGCTATTTCGAGGCACCTGAAATAGACTGGGCCATTGACCAACAAAAACCTGGTCTAAAGTCAATGGCGCAGTAGTTTTTTTTTGTTATTTAAAGAGCGCGTTAGTATAGGCGGGTCCACAGTGCACGTACACTCTGCTTATTACACACACATGGACACACAGCAGCACACAAACATGCCAAATATTAAAAATTAAAGGATTGCAATGTAAAATATTATTATTGTGTAGGCTACATAAATATAAAAATGCCTACATGTCATAATGGATAGTCATTGCATGTATCAGAATTAGGCTACCTATTTGCTCGTGCACATGCAGCTCCGTTTCAACTCTGGAGAGGTGTTCTGTCTTTGCGCTTGCAAATTCCGCCATGTAAATAGCAAATCCGCCATGGCACGAGCGCAACTGGCTCTTAAAGGGAATGGGAGATGAGACTCTGATTGGTTTATGGCACGTTAAGCCCAAAACACACCCATTACTCATTAAAAGAATAGGGACAACCCTTTTAGACAATGCGCCGGGCGCACCGACTGTTTTTTCCGTCCTTAAACTAGCAAAAGTGGATTCGGACACGCCCTAAACGCAATTGCGCCGTGCGCTTTAGACCATGCACTAAGATCGTTAAAATAGGGCCCTTTGTGTTTAAGTCTTCCCTTTTTTCACAAAATCTTTGCTCTCTAGAAACCATGTCAGTTTCGGTTGAAATTATTTTAAGTTCAAGTATTAGCATTATAAACACTGAATTAATACCAACATATGAAATTAAATTAATGACAGAAAAATTTGAAATGTTGGACAATAAATATAACAGGAATATAACAGCTTCACAGTAAACTGTTTTTGCAATATTGTCTTATATTGATGTCTGTTAAAGGAAGACTGTAAACAAAAACTATGTCAAACAAACAAACAAAAAAATTATATTAGGGGGGAAAACAATATCATAGAGACATCAGTAGTAGTGGTATTAGTGATACTTGCCTTCAGTCATAAAAAATATATAAATAATCAAATATTAAATAAAATATTAAAAATATATTGTCTTTATGTTGTTTCTACATTTATTTGAAGATTGAATGTAAAATTATTGCAATATGTGACCCTGGACCACAAAACCAGTCATAGGGGTCTTTTTTTATTTTTATTGAGGTTTATACATCATATGAAAGCTGAATAAATCAGCTTTCCATTGCTGTATAGTTTGTTAGGACAGGAATATTTTTAGCCGAAATACAACTATTTGAAAATCTGGAATCTAAAAAAAAAAAAAAGCTAAAAATCTAAATATTGAATAAATCACCTTTAAATCTGTCCAAATGAAGTCCTTAGCAAGGCATATTACTTATCAAAAATTTAGTTTTGAAATATTTACGGTAGGAAATTTACAAAATATCTTCATGAAACATGATCTTTACTTAATATCCTAATGATTTTTGGCATGAAAGGAGAGAGTTAAAGAGAATCTGGGTAATGTGGCTCACTGAAGCGTTCACTGCTAGTGCATTTGGAAACCTTAGGTTGGTCACAAGTGTCTCCCATTGATTCCCCGACATAGAGAACTCTACTTTTGTTATTTGCAATGCACTTGACGGTGTCTTCATTCCCTTTTTTACAAAAAATAATCCATTGTAACACACTTTTTTCAACCCCGCTACCCCTTCTTTTCACCCTTTTCTTGTATTGGGAATGTCTCTCTCCGTGCATTTTATGAAAGACACAACAGTGACTTGAATATGTAATGCCCCTTTCAAAGGGGTTGCTTGACAGGAAAAGAAGTTGGCAGAAATAAAGTGGCACTCTTTCCTTCCCCCTTTTTTGCTGCTGTCACACAAGCATCACGGTCTCTCCCACCACCTCACAGCATCTCATTTGTCATGTTATTAAGTGCACACTTACACGTATTTCCCTTACATTAGCTGTGATAGGAAAGACAGCACAGGACTGACATGTACTGGCCACTGTCCAATCATCAGCTGAATAAACACTGAGAACATTTGCTTGGGCAGGTTGGCAGCCTCAGCCATGTTTGTCTTTCAGACCCCACCCCAGTCCTCTTCCTCTTGGTTTCAGAAGGGTGAGGGGGAAACACACTAACTTACAAGTGTGTCAGCCTCCCAGTATGTGATAGGTAGGGCTGCCAATGGCCTGATCTTTTGGAAACGTGCACTCTGCAAATGGGGGCACACCAACAGAGGACTCTGAAGTGTCAGAGAATTTATTGACAAAGTGAAATGGGAATAGCAGTCGCTAAAGAAACACGAAGTGATGCCGATTGAATGCTGACTCTGTGACGTTAAATCCTAGTAAACAAATACTCAGTAAAGCACGTGAAATGTATCAGATCTAATAATTGACTCTTTCCTAAGTCATGAATATAATATAATATGTTTTGTAAACATAAACTTAAAATATATCGTAAATAATAAATGTGAATGCTTCCCTTAAATGTATCAAATTCAGTTGTCAAAATCAATCAGTTAAATTGTTTAATCTGAAATTAAATTAAAACTACAGATATTTAAATCTTTTACCAAAAGTAATGAATGAATTAGTTTATTTATTTATTTATTTAAATAATTTTAAATATTTAGTATTTAAACCTTTTACCAAAAGTAATGAATTAATGAGTTTATTTATTTATTTAAATAATTTTAAATATTTAGTCTTAATTTTGTTAATTGAATTTGATACATTCCAGAAAATGAAGGAAAAAAAAACACTGTATTTAGATTAAAACTCTTTTTAACTCTTCAAATTGTACGTTTTTAATTAAAATGTAAAATACCTCATAAGTTCGGATGAAGTCGAATGCATTCTGTCAGAATTTTAATTAATACAATTCTGACAGCATGCATAACAACATCTCTGCAACATGTTCTCGTGCATTTAGTAGAAATCTCTACAGCAGAATATTTTAGGCATCTTAAATGTGACTGTCTTGAAACCATTTTTTTTTATTTCAAACTTAAAACTGTCTGCTTTTCTTCAATAAAATTATCAAATAACAAAACATATTTACCCCTAAAATGCATCATATGCAATAAATACAATTGAGCACTGAATAAGATCAAAACTAAAAATGGTTTTAAGTTCAAATGGTTATAAAAATGGTTGTAAAATGTTGTTTTTCCACTTAAATACCTATAAAACATGAATGAAACTGAATGTTTAAATAATTCTAAGTCGTTAATGAATACGCATTTGAATGAATTTTACATAAGATGTTTTGCAGCTCAAAATGCCAGTTTAAAGCTTTAACTTAATTTAAAACATGCAACATGTAATCAATCATTTGTGCATACGTATCGCAACAGCAAAGTACTTCTCAATCCTCGAACAGTTTATGCATCTCAAGTCCTTAAAACCAATAGAGACAAATGTAAATTACAAACTAAGTGGAGATTGAGCTGTGACGAACAATGTGACTTAACAAAGTTAATGTAAACATATAAAGGAAGCCATACCATCTTCTATTCACCCAGAGCTTCTTATTTGGAGATGTTCTTTCAGAGCCTCACAATGACACGCAAATTCTGCTGTTTCTGACAATTTAAACAAATAACAATGATACAAAAGGACACTTCCAGCGAATGTAAAATGCAGTGTGAAGGAGCAATGAGCCTATCAATGAATCTCCTGCGCATCACAACAGCTACTGCAGGGCAGGACAGGCACAATATTTACATTTCCTTTTTGAAATTTGGTGAAAGGTTTTCTTTAACCCACATAGGCCCGAATGAGAATTGCTAGATAATAAGAGATTAAAAGGTGAAGGGGACACAGAGAGAGAACGAGAGAGAAAGGCAAATCCTGGCCTGGGGGGCTGATGTTAAAACACAATGGACACCAGAGCAGTAAAGCAGTCAACTGTTTTTTTTTCACCCCCTTATACAAGTGCCACCTGCATTACAATTAACCTCATGGCAACCTTGAGGTCCCTGATTAGTGATGGCCCATTGTCTCACCCCCCATTAGAGCAATGGCCTCGTCTCTGCCCCTCGACATCTCCCCAATCGACAAATCAAACCGCAGTTGCTAGTGGGGTGCTCGGTGCTGCAGTGTCAGGGATCCGGCCCTCGTCACAACAGAATGAGGCAGTGTGTGGGGTCTTGTCGTGTGTGCATAGTGCTACCTGTGAGGGTCACGACCTCTGACCTGTGTGGGCAGACACCAGCGATCGTGAGTGTGATACGTGGACCTCAGGTCATTCGGTATTGCTGCAGAGGATTGTGCGACATTGGCTTGTAAAGGGATTCAGTCAACATAAATTCAAAAAACATCACAAGTGAATCCTCAAAGGGGATGGACCACCAAGTAACACCTCTGTCACCTCTGGTGCCGAAAACTGAATGTGAACTGTTAAGTAGTCTGACGTCAGTGTGAATACTGCCAACAAACATCCCGAATATAAAGAAACCTCAGTTAAGCCTGTTAACATAGAGCCACAATCACCAGAGTGTACAGACGACTTGCTGCTTTTATTCCCGCTCATATCCTGTAAAAACCATTGAGCAATAAACAAGCTCTCACATTAACTTCACAGCAGAAGTAACGATGATGCATATATCGGAGGCATGCCTACAGCGTGGGTGTAGATATACAAGTTGGGTAGAAAAGAGGGAAAGGGTTCTGGAGAACACCTGTCAGCTGTTTAGCCCAGCAATGCCATAAGGCCAACCAATGGGAGAGTACCAATCTCTCCTTGTCTTGCTTAAAGACAGTAGCAGACTGTCCCCAGGCAACCACCAGGTGCACAGATGTGGAGCGTGGTACACTATGGTGGATTGTTCTTTGGTTTCGAGCACTTTAGAGGCTGTTTTGTAACTGTATTTTGCGATAATATGAGGCGTTTTATATTACATGACCTTCTAAACCTCTAAAGTGGACCTACACTGACAAATGGTGTGTGTGTGTGTGTGTGTGTGTAGAGTTCTATAGTCTTTAAAAGCTGGTGACCAATAGCATTCGTAGGGTAGAAGCATACTTTGAAAACAATGAAGACATGAAGGGTTGGCCAACGAATTGCAAGATCATGGAACTTTGCATGGCAACTGACATGAATGCACTCTTGTGTTGCTGTGGTGGTAACAATCTTCAGTATTCAAATTTAAAGAGTAATTTGAAGAAATTACCTTCAAATATCTAATTAAGCAGCAAACTAGCTATAAACATATTAATAGTTTATCTTGCTCAGGAAGATCCTCATGAAATCACGTCTCTGCCATGTAAGTAGTTGACACAAAAGTTCCCTGATTTGAAAATTGATTGTAGAAGAAGAGTTTTTGCCAACACTTGCTATAGCACCCCTTGTGGTTGGGGTTAGGGATTCCAGTCTGGCACATTTCAAAATGCAACAACACAAAATACATGTAAAGCAACACTGTAAAAAAAACTCAAACAAACTGATTGTTGATTGAATGATCAAAAGTTGAAATAACAAATTTAAATAAAGGTAATTGTTAGGTCATTTAGTATGGGAAACTTAAAATATTAAACAGAAATAAAATACAGTGTCAAGTTTGGTGGTGAGGGTTCAACTACCAAGCTATTGAGCATGCTCAGTTTGATCACTGATAATGTATAATATTAATAAGTTGATTAATGATGCATATATGTTATTCATTATTAATATATGTTTTGGCTCTATGTAGCCTTGATTTATGTTTTCTAAAAGTAGTGTTTAAAGTAGTGTTTATTCTCACCATTCGGGTGATTCGTGTTCTCTTGAAGGTCCCCCCACCTCCCAAGTCAATTAATAAAAGTGGTTCTACATAACTTTTGATGTTAATGTCAGTTTAACATTAAATTCAAGCTTACTGAACGTGCATCCACAAGTAAAAAAAAAAAATTATAGATTTAAGTTTATAGAACATTATTATTTTGATAATAGCACAGACTAACATTAAGTTGATATACCATTTTTTACAAAAACAATCCTGAAGGTGGTTGCCATGAATTTTGGAGCTGATGTTTATGTACATAGAGTGTGTCTAGGGCATTCAGTCACATAACATTAATTGTTTATTTAAAGTCAACATGAAAGTGTTCACACACAATTTGACATTTCTAAGTATATAAAATAAGTTGGTTTGGAAATTAATTTTAAAGAAAGAGCAAGTTATTACACATTGATGAAAGATTATGTATACAAACATATATTTTCTTTCAAAACACATGCACTGATGATTTATTCTAAAACAAGTCCAAGAACACGCATTAAGAAAGTAAATAGGGTCAGTTTCGAATTCATGGATTCAATATGAATTTCACTCCTTGTTATTACCAAATTGGAGTGAGATCATTCATCGAAGCACTGAATAAAATGAAAATATTTCACTCTTCACCATTCCATATATGAAAAGCACCTGGGAAGTATTTCACATTTAATAAGAATTTGCTCTTTAATTTGAAAAAAGAAGCAAGCTGCATTTGACTCAATTATGTAAATCACAGGTGAGTGACGTTTAATAGGACAAGTGTGCGAAGCAAATGGGTAAAAGAAAATGGGGTTGGAAACGACAATCCCAGGAGGTCTCTAATAAGGGGGTAGAGGAGCGAGCGCAAGTTTGCCATGCACTGAGAAGCGCGTGCTATAGTAAACTAGGGGCTAATCCAACCCCCGCTGCGTGGCTTCCCTAGAGGTCTAATACTATGCACTCAGTGAAACAAAGCCCCCTGCTCCCGGCAGCCCCTGCCAAGCCCTAGGACACCCACCAGTCACTCCACCCCCGATGGCACACACCACATTTTTGACACCCTATCACTGCTCCAGCATGTGGCCACAAGACCAGTCTGTCTGTCAGTCAGTCAATGTAATACCCCCATCAGAAATTCATCTCTCCTATGTGCAATTTCCCATACTTGCAGAAAACAATCTGGGTAATTATAAAACAATTAGAGATTACATGTTTGAAAACCTCGGCTACACGCCGATAATTTCCACAGTGACTAATAAACCCGTACGAGCAAGAGGTGGAGGGATGAAATATCATTTTGCGTGTGCAGAATCCAAAACTTCCGTCCTTATTGAATTCACGGCCATTGTGTTATTTTGTACGTTCATCCTCATTGCTAGATATTCCCTGGACTCCCTCGGGCACTAATCTGTTTTCCATGTCATCTTGGTAAACTGTGTTATTCAGTTAAGAGGGCATAATTCTGTTTCTTGTACACGAGGCTGTTACACAGAGGACTGGGAGCAGAAAGGCTACACGCGCTGTATCAAAGCGATTCCATGCCTGTATCGGCTTAGTGTGTTTAGGATGTATGAATACAAATGTGGCTGAAATACCCTGCTTGATCCCAGACATATGATGATTAGAAGCTGGATTTTCAAGGATTCAATCCTAGCCAGCCAGAGTCTAATGCTCACAGCATTTGTTTGAAGCCATTCAGATGTCAAATTGTACTGGCTTTTAAAACTATATACAGTACATACACCTTAAAAAATGAATGAATGAGTGAATGAACAAACAAAAAATAAATAAATAAATAAATGTGAAATTAACTGTAAAATACCAGCAGCTGTGGTTGCCAGAACTTTACCATAAAAAATATGGTAGCAACATTTTAGATTTTTCAGAATTAAATTCACAGTTTAAAAAAAGTGGATTTCACTGTTTATATACCAACCTATTGAAATACTATTATCTATTTGTAACATTGTAATACACTGATTCAAACACTAAACATCATGATGGTTACACACCTGAAACTGAAATGATGCAATGAACATTAATTTAACAACATTAGATGTAAGATAGAGCCCTAATATACACAACTAATAAGAAAAAAATAAAAGTTATTTCAATGAAAAAAAAAAAAAAAACATCAAAAGTGAAGTGTCATGCAGGCAATTCTGGGAATGATAAATTTTGTTTTTTCCCCCCACTGTAAATTATAATATGAATTATTATTTTTCACTTCCAAAACCGTTTTTATAGTCTTTTGCTGTTAAAAATCACCATCATTTTTACAGTGTATGTACAAATTTACCTTTTTAAAATCTCTTTACAATTCTAAGGAGGTTATTTATCTTTTTATAAAAATACTGATGAATGCACACCTGATAATTTACATTCTGTATTAATATGCTAAGTTACATTAATTAGCAACAGACCACAGCTTACAGCCAATTACCTCTTTTACATGCAGGACAAATTGTTTATTCCAATTATTAAAGTTAGTAAAATAATTAACTGAACACGTTACTATTTATAAAAGCAATTTGAAGTGTTTTAGATGCTACTTTATGTGGTGCGTAAGTATTTTCCTCACCTGTCGTAAACTCACTATATCGCATGATTGTGAGTATAGGTTTTTGCTTTAATATAACACTGTTTGTAGTTGTAATGTAACATTTGTAGTAAAAGACACAGTATGGCACCTATGATTTTAGTTCATGCTCATATCTGTCAGTTTTGACCGATTTTTTTAGATTGTAGGCTAATGTGTCTCTGCCTGTCATTGAGTGAATCTATTCAATGTGAATGGAGTGGCATTTGTGAAGCTTGCAGTGAATGCAAGCCACACTTTAAAGGTATAGTTTTCAAAGCATACTGCATGTCAGGGTGTATAAACCATTGAAAATAACTCTCTGTCAGTAATTTTGTGCATTGACCTTTTGTTATTAAATGCTTGAATGACATTAACTTCCCTTCAGATGTACTGTATAGTATTTACCTCTACAAATTCAGTCAACTCTTGCCAGAAAAGTATTTTATGTTTGTTTGTTTTTTTTTGTTTTTTTTTATTCCAGGATAAAATATGAGAGCAGGTGAAGTTATATCTCACAATTGGAGGACAGATTTCGTTTCACTAATTTGCTTCTCTTGTTAACGGCAGAAAGTCCCAGCACAGCGGCACAACAATTATATCCAGGTGCAAGAATTTGATTCAACAAATTCTAGGTGGATACATCCAGGTTTTTTCCCGGCATCCCTCCTGTTATCTCTCTCCCATCGGAACAGCCAGAACCAGATGCCCTTGGAAATAGAAAAAAAAAATCCTGCCCACATGTGACGGAGGACCTTGACGAAAAAACCTGAAGCTCTTCCAGTATCTAGAAAATCATAAAGCATGTTGTTTATTATAATAATTAGAATGGCGGGAACCAGAGACTAGTCCGGAAGATAATGGGACATGCTAATGAGTGTGGAAACGAGCCAATCAGAGGAGGATGAAGAGGTGGAGGGATTGTGATCTTTTGGCAGGGTGTACACTGGGAGAGCAATACGATCTGGAAGTCAGGAGACCCAGTTGGCCTGTCATTGTGGGAGGGGGCACGATTAGGGAGCTTGAGTCTTTCTCAGGAGGTGGTGGTGAAGGGAGAGGTTCAAAACTGGTTTTGCTTGAGGGCCCAAATGTTACATTAGACGTCTAGTAGTAAACCAATTTTGATGCCATTTGATGACCGAAATTATTTATTGTACAAGTACAAAGTCATTAAACCAAACACTGAATTTATTGCTTGGTTTATTGTAGTGTCTGTTCAATTTTGATAGTAGGCTGATAGTTCTGCTCACACAACACACTGTATTTGGCGAGAAAGAAAATATATTTTGTTTCCTTGTTACGAATAAGTTGGCATTTAATGCCTGACTTTCTTGTCTCCTTTTTGTCACGTTACGCTGCCAGAAGGAACATGGAGCCGTGGATAAACAAAAGAGTCTTTATTAATCCAACACGGGGGTAAATCCAACGTAGGGAACAGGAGGTAGACACACGTACATCACTGGTAGACCCAACGAGCCAGGGGGATGCCGAGGATCCGGGGGGCCAGGGTGGAGCCGAAGGCTCTGGCGACCAAGGCGGAGATCCGGAGATCCGCGGTGGAGCCGGAGCGACTGATGACCAAGGTGGTGCTGGAGGGAGGAAGGAGCCCAATGGAGCCGGTAGGACGGAACGACGAGGTGCAGCCGGAGGAGCACTGGTAGACCCGACAAACACTAATTGCACAGACTAAGACTTATAAATACAGGGCAATCAGGGGAACACAGGTGACAACAATGGAACCTAATCAAACTAAACGAGGAAATGAATATAACCAAATAAGGAGACACAGGAAGGACTACAGGGGCAAAACAAGTACAAAAGTCTGACATATCACCCCCTCCCGGAAGGGGTGGAGCCGCTGGGTCTACGGGCCGAGGCGGTGTCCGGGCCTCAGAGGCTGGAGGCGGAGGGATTCTCCAGCCACTGCGACGCTGGAGGATGGGAGACCCGCGGCGCTCGCACCGTATTGATGGTGGGCTGAGGGCGAGCAGAGGGGCTGCCAGACGACAGCGGTGGAGGAGGCTGGTGCGGGTGGGAGGGCGGTAATTTGTGAGCCTCCGGGTATTCAGGGCTAAACTCTGGATCAGGAGCCCCCTCTAGGCTGAACTCGAGAACAGGATGGCGCTCAGGAGGAGCGGACACTTGAGGGCGCTTTCGAGGAGCGGGCACTGGAGGGCGCTTTCTAGGAGTGGGAACTGGAGGGCGCTCTGGACTGGATTCGGGGACTGGAGCCCTCTCCTCTACGATTTGGCACTTTCGCCGCGCCATACTCAGCTCACCCGCAGCCGCGGTGCAGGGGGTGGAGCTCCTCTCCGCACTCACACCATCCGCGGCTTTCTCCCTCGTGGCGGGCATTGTCGCTGGCTCTCGCACCTGGTCTGACGGCTTGGGCTCTCCTTCCGGGGCGATCCTCCGCTCAGTCGCTCGGCATTGCACTGGCTGGTAGATCGCGGCGGGAATGGGCTCTCCGCCATCGGTGGGCTCTGGCTTTAGCTCAGCACAGCGGCGAGATGGTGGGCTGGGCTCTGGGTCTGGAGTGTCACCGGCAAGATCCCCCTCGGGACAGACGGTGACCGGGGATCTGTGTCTCGCCAGTGTCCACTCCACAAATGCGCCGAATTCCGCTCGACGGCCATCTTCAGACGACGGCGCTCTGCACGCGGGTTTGAGGCTGGCGTCATAGAACGCGCAGAGCGCGTCGTCCGGGTAGGTGGTGAGATGGGCAATCGCCAGAAAAAAACGGAAACAAAAACACTGAGAGTAAAACGAGAAAACAAACGGAGGGGTTGGGTCTTCTGTCACGTTACGCTGCCGGAAGGAACACGGAGCTGTTGATAAACGAAAGAGTCTTTATTAATCCAACACAGGGTGTAAATCCAACATAGGGAACAGGAGGTAGACACACGCACATCAGTGGTAGACCCGACAAACACTAACTGCACAGACTAGGACTTATAAACACAGGGCAATCAGGGGAACACAGGTGACAACAACGGAACCTAATCAAACTAAACGAGGACAGGAACATAACCAAATAAGGAGACATAGGAATGACTACGGGGGGGGAAACGGGTACAAAAGTCTGACACTTTTAATGTTGAAGGTAAAGGAATATTCTGGGTTTAATACAAATTAAGCTTACTCCAACTTGCATGTCAATGGGCTTGTATAATTATATAAAAGAATAAAAATTCATATAGGAGGTGGTGGTGAAGGCAGAGGTTCAAAACTGCTAACCCAGCCCAGACATTACCGGAATTATTTAATGTACTAAAGTAAGTACAAAGTCCTTACTTGGTTTATTGTTGTGTGCCTTCAATTTTGATAGCTGATAATTCCACACACAAAACATTGTTTTCAGTAAGTAAATAAATAAATACAATGCTGCAAGTCGGCAATTAATGTAACGTGATTGCCTCCTCCCTTTTAAAATGAATATTCTGGGTTACAAGTTAGGCTCAATTGACACCATTTAGATAGATAGATAGATAGATAGATAGATAGATATAGGTTGAAGTGAGGCACACAATGTAAGTGAATGGGGCCAATTTTGGAGAATTTAACAGCAGAAATGTGAAGCTTATGATTTTTTAAAGCACATACATTAATTGTTATGTTGAAATGCATGTATTATTTGAACTGTAAAGTTGTTAATTTAAGGTTTCAGGCATTATGTTTGTAAATATTTTCTTTTACACTAAAATTATGTTATTTTATTACATTTTATGGCTATACTATTGAAACAGCTTACTTCCATTGTAAGTGTCTCACTGCACCCCAGATTTTTGATACAATGAGTGACAAGTAGAAATTTGTTTTTCATGGAAATCAGCATTATGCCACAAGCGCTGCTGAGCTTAACCGCTATTCTTTCACCATATTCTTTAGCAAACTAACTATTCATGATTGTATATACTTACATTTTGCATTCATTTTTTCTCTGCTGTCCATGATCTAGCAGACCCGCAACCCATTCTTTTTGGAGTGCGAATCACCACCAGTTGAGAGCCAGTGGTTTAAGCAGTTTATACTGGGCAAGCCGTCACACTCCAGCCATGCCATGCTTAATTTAGAGTCCTGTTGCCCCCGCGGTCCTTCTGAAAATATGACAGGAGGGACATAAATAACCCTCTTTGCTGCCCCTACAAACCATATACCCCCTTCCATCCCTGAAGTGTCCTATCAAAGCTCACTCAGGGCCAAGAAAAGGCTTGTAAATCTTCAATAACTGAGAAAATGCCTTCATTTGCTGGTGTCGCAGTAAGCGATCGTAACAGAGGATGTTGCTCGTCCCTCGCTCTCTCTAAATGGCGGGAGACCCAGGTGGCAGAAGGGATGGGGAGCTTTGGATGCTGGTTTAATGAGGGTACCCTGGTAAACTGGGGCGGCAGGAGGGGTGCGGAGCCAGATTGCGACCTCACTGCCAAGAACTCCACACCATGTGTGCGTATGCGTATGAGTGTAGGAGACGGTCATGCTGTTGATGAGTAATTGATGTAAAATCACACTGGTAAACGTGAGAGAGTAATCCATAATTGCTTGAAATGTTTACAGATGTGCATTAATTACTCAAGCGTAATTAGCTTTTAGAGATAATTACTACTTTGGCAAGGTCTTAAAGTGTAATGTATTATTTAACAAAAATCATTGGAGATGCGTTATGATGAAGCTCGCTTATCGATGACATGTAGCGTCTCTATTCCGTGGACAGCTGATTGGATTTGCTGGAGTCGCGGGTCGGCAGAAGAACATGCTGAGAGTATAAATTGACTCTGGCCCATAGTAGAAACGAGGATAAAAGCCGTCCAGTCATATAATGCTAGATACCCTTCCTCGCCACAGGTGCTCCACTCTGGCCATGTTATTACAGCATGTGTGCCAGCATTCACTTCATATGATGTCAACACACCATTCAGCTTTAGATATTACAATGGAAAATCATCACACCAGAAGTCAACAGACCATAGACCTGTAACTAAAGGACTATTTTCATCAAACACCATCAATAACTCTCAGACAGCCCATTGCAGTCTAATCAAACTAATGCAAGTAAATTAGATCAAAATGACAGCTCACACTTAAAGCATAAGGACAGCCTGTATTAAAATAATGCAAAAAAAAGTATTTTAAAAATACATATTTAGAACATAATTTATATGAATTGCACTACCAGAAAAAAGTCTGAACGCACAATGCACTTTTATCATAATTTCAAAATAGTTTTAATCTTAAAATGCTTTATTTTGTAGACAAATATAAATTGTAAATCTGTAAATATTTAAAATACGGAATATATATTTTATATTATTTTTGAATAGTTTGATTTTCGTCCTCATAAAATTGGTTGAGAAAATGCCCATTTTGTGCATATAATATTGCAAGGAATAATCTTAAATAGAACTTATTATTTAACATTTTTGTCACCACATAGTTTCCATACTTCCCTTTGTGATGTTTAATAATTTTGATGAATAAAATATGGAAAAATAAAATAATAATAATAGTAAAGTATGAGCAGATGTGTTTGTAGTTTTGCCTGGGTAGCGCACATAAAATTACAGAAAAAAATGTCATGTCACTCTTTTTAAAACGTTTTAAAAATACAGCTGAGAGGTTAACATGGTTTTATTGTATTATTTGAATAATTTTATATTTTACAGCATCACTATAATATTCAATTACATTACTAATAAAATTCTGACACAATCTGGGTAGAAACTCATAAAGTGCTAATAAAACTACAGTTGCAATAATCAACTCCCATTATGAATGATACAACATCTCTCATGCACTCATATGTTTGACAACCCAAATCAAATTTTAGCTTTATAAAATGAGTCCAAATTGCATGTCGATGGGCTCGTATAATTGTATAAAGGTATAAAAATGCAGATAGGTTAACATAGGGAGTCTTGTGTAATCTCATTCCCACACAAACCGCCACAGGGTTCCTGTCTGTTGGCCACGGCGCAGTCTCTGGCTTTCATTTGATTTAGGGAGCCGAGCTGCTCACCTCGAGAATGTCTTTATATCGCACCGATGTTTGAGACGAACTCTCAGCATCTGCAATGCTTGCATAAATATAGACTGACAAATTATTGATATTTTGTTGCAAGGAAATACCAATAAATTAAATGCCGAGAATGTGTTCTCCATCAATGAGAGTTGAGTCAACTGATTAAAAAAACAAAACAATAACCAGAATACATATGAACATGCTACATGAAGTGTGGAGGTTTATCCACATATGTGGCCTGATTTTTTTTATTTTATTTTTTTATTTATCTGGCCTACAATTTATGTAAAGCCCCTAAATGATACCATGTAGCATTCATTATTTATGAGGTAGTGACGTAACAGTATGGCATTGAGAAATGCCTTTGCAGTCCAGGCGATACAGTTTCTGTACTGTAGACCCGCTGTGAGTAAATAAGGCTGGTGTCCTCCATAACTTTTGGTCAAACTCCTTAGTAGTATATTCCACAAATTAGAAGCTAAATTTATCTAGTTGTTTCTTGCTATTGAACTGTCGGACTTTCTTATAAGTATGTGTTCCAAAAATATTTTGGCAGAGCAGGTTTAATTTGATTCCAACTTAAACTAAATTAAGTAAAAAGAGTTATAAATTGGTCTGGTAAAATGGTGGTACAGATTGTAACGGATCCTTTCAGTTATAATAAATTATGCTACATGAAAGAATACTTATAAGATATTTACTTTTGTTTAATTCGTTTTCCATAAGTTAGGACTTTAGATATTTACTCAATACTTTATTCCCATTGCTCAGTCACAATATGACTTCATCTTTCCTGGCTGAAGGTCTATTTCAGTAACGACTATAGTTTCAGTCAGTCTCACAAGTATAGCTGATGTTCTGGAGGATTCAGAAGAAAATTCTACAACCTAACTTTTAAAGATGGATTTCCATTGATGTTTTCCTGAAGTAGAGATGAGGGTGCATCAATGGCTATAGTGTTCAGATCTCTCCATCATTTTGTCTAAATAATGTATAAATTCACAAATTGAGTCATTTTTACTGAATGGTGACACTAGTTAGACACTAGACACGTGACACTACTAGACACACGGCATGAAACAGAAATAGTGATCAACTTCATATTGTGATGTATTTCAATGCAAAACAGCTGTGAAAAAAAAACTTGCTATATATATATATATATATATATATAATAGGGTAAATGTAATTTCATGCTGACTTTCGTCCACTATAGTAATCAAAATTGACCCTATTTCATTTCTTTACATGTTCTTAGAATGATTAATTGATTCATTAGTGCACTACTCCAAATCATTTTAAAATTTGATCATCTTCATTCTGTAATATTTTATCAATATAATGTAATAATAACATAATATATTATGTTGTATAATAATATAATATAATAATTGTGCCACTTCTGATTCCTTTCTGATATGTAACACCCACTTTTCAAAATCCATTTGCAAATTCACAAATCCATGTTTCAATGGACAACATCAAGTATTTGCGTTTCTTTCCCATTTCACTCAGAATGGTCTGAAAAGCTAATTTCATGTGGACTTTTCACCATACTTCTACTACATAAAAAACACTAAACAAGCAAAAATAAATAAATAAATAATAATAATAATGATAACAAGAGAAAGTCAT